GCCAGAATCTTCGAAGGTTCGAGGGTCGGTTCCGGGACAGGTCGTGCTGTCGGGGCAGCTTGCTGACGTGCGATGTCGGTCGTGGCTGGCACGAACTTGCGAAGCAGGCTGACGTGGAAGGCGTCATGGATTCGCAGTCGTCGGGTAGCAGCAGCTTCGCGGTGACAGGTGTCACCATCTTGATAATCTTGAACGGTCCGCAAAATCGGGGCCGTAGTTTCGATGGACCGGGCAGGTGCAGGTTCTTCGTGTCGAGGAGCACTAATTGCCCAGTAGTCAAGACGATTTCCCGACGTAGAAGGTCGGTGTACTTGCAGGAAGTGAGATTCGCCTTGCGAATTGCGTCTGCTACCTTTTCGCGGATTGTCTGAAGTTCCGTCACAAAAGCTTGTGACCTCGGGACCGGGTTGTCGAGCGAAGTCGCCGTGGGGACCGTCGGATCCATCCCGTAATTTAGGAAAAACGGGGAGTGATTAGTCGTGCTCGACGGTGCGTTGTTGAAGGCGAACTCCAACATGGCGAGGGAATCTTCCCATCGTGCGGGGTCGGGGCAGTTTGTCCGTATCAGCTGCTCCATGGTTTGGTTGGTTCGCTCGGTCTGTCCGTCCGTCTGTGGGTGGTATGCCGATGAGAACTGTAGCTTCGTGCCGTACTGCGCCCACGTCTCCTTCCAAAATTTGGAAGTAAACTTCGGGTCTCGGTCGCTGATGATCGCCGAAGGGATGCCGTGCAGTCGCACGACCGTTGAGATGAAGAGGCGCGCAGTTTCTGTTTTCGGCCGTGATTGTCGTTCGGCATGGTGCGAAGTGCGCCATTTTCGTGAAGCGATCGACGACGACGAGAACAGCGTCGTTGCCGGACGGCCCAGCTGGCATCCCCACGACGAAATCCATCGTCACTTGCTGCCACGGTCGTTCGGGTGGCTCGAGGGGTTGCAGCAGCCCAGCTGGTCGCTGACGTGTCGATTTCATTGCTTGGCACACCCTGCATGAGGACACATAACGCTGCACGTCGTTAGAAGAATCAGGCCAGTAATATTGACGGTGCAGTAATTTCTGGGTTTTATCAACCCCGAAGTGTCCGGAGTAATTCGAATCGTGGACCTCCTGGATGAGGAGTTCACGCAGCAGCCGGTAAGCGGGAACCCAAATCCGGTCAGTTCCGGCCTTTAGGTAATAATTCCCTTTCTGCGTCGTGGCTTGCTGATGATTTCCTGTCGTAAAGAATGGGTCCGCAGTGTAGCCGTGGGTGAATAGTCCTGTAAGTAGCGGGTTCGAATGGGTGATCAGTACAGCAGCGGATTGTACGGTCGGTCTGGTCAGGGCGTCGGCGATGTTATTCGCCCCTTTCTTGTACGTGATGCGGTAGGTGAAATGGCTCTCCATGTAATCCAGCCACCGGATTTGTCGCGGGTTGAGGTTGGGCTGGGCTCGCAGGTACTGTAGGGACTTGTGGTCCGTGCGCACAGTGACGTCGGCGCCCACCAGGTAGCAGCGCCACAGTTTGAACGCGTGAATTATGGCGAGCATTTCCTTGTCGTGGATCGGGTAGTTGCGCTCGGCAGCTTGCAGCTTGCGTGATTCGTAGGCGATCGGCTGCAGCCCGTTCCCGAAATCCTGGAGAAGCACTGCTCCGATGGCGAAATCAGAGGCGTCGGTTACGACTTCGAACGGCTTCGATGGGTCGGCGATGCGCAGCACAGGAGGGGAAACGAGAAAATTCTTGAGCTCCTGGAAAGCCGCCTCTGCCTCCTCCCCCCACACGAAATTCTTGTCCTTGTGCAGCAAGTCGGTCAGCGGGCCGGTTATCCCCGCCATATTCGGGATAAACCGCCGGACATAATTCACAAACCCCAGAAAACTCTGAAGCTCCGTGACATTAGTCGGGGCCTTCCACTCCTGAAAGGTCTTGATTTTCGCCGGGTCGATTTTAATGCCGTCGCGTGAAATTGCGCGCCCCAAAAACTCCAACTCCTGCTTAAAAAACTCGCACTTAGAGCCCTTGGTGATGAGGCGGTTCTCCTGCAACCGCTTAAATACTGCGTCCAGGTCGCGGAGATGCTGCTCCCGTGTCTTGCTAAAAATCAGGATATCGTCCAAAGGGACGATGACACATCGGTCTAGAAGATCCCGAAAAACCCTGTTCATGGTGAGTTGAAATGACGAAGGCGCGTTCGTGAGGCCGAAAGGCATCACCGTGAATTCGTAACTCCCGTAGCGTGTGCGAAACGCGGTCTTGTGACAATCGTCGGCGAAGACCCGAATCTGGTGGTAACCGCCACGTAAGTCGATTTTCGAGAAGTAGCGAGCGCCGCGAAGTTGGTCAAGAAGGTCGTCGGTGCGTGGGATTGGGTAGCGAGACTTGATGGTCACCCGGTTCAACGCGCGATAATCGATGCACATGCGAAGCCCGCCGTCCTTCTTCGGAGTGAACAGGATCGGTGCCGCGAACGGGGAGGTGCTTGGCCGAATAAATCCTTTCTCCAACAGTGCGTCAATTTGTCGGCGCAGCTCCTCGAGTTCCGGTTGGGTCAACCGCCACTGTGTCCGAACAGTTGGTTGCGCGCCAGGTTCCAGCTGGATTTTATGGTCTTCGGGTCTCTCGGGTGGCAGCCCAGGTGGCAGATCGTCCGGGAAAATGTCGGGGTACTGTCGAATCAGCTTTGCTAAATCCGGAGGGACAGCTGCACACAGCTTCTCGATGTCCTTTCCGTCGGTGTCGACTGCCAACTCGCGCAAGCAGACGGCGAACAGCTGCGCACCCCTGTTGAAGTGGCGAGCTGTGGTGATGGCTTTGACGCACGGGGCTTGGATGTAGTCAGGTGTTTATGCAGGAAGTTTAATTAGCCCCCCGTGCTTGCTGACGCAGCACGATCCCGTTGTCCAGTCGATGACGGGGTTGTGTCGTCGCAGCCAATCACGTCCCAGTAGCAGTACGTCGCAGCCATCCAGCGTCGTCGCGAGGAACTTCATGCTGAAGCCGAAATCGTCGCCGCATTCGATCCGCACCGTCCGTGTTTCTTCCGTTATCGCCAGAGGCGTCCCATCCACGAGGCGTGCGTCGATTTCGGGCAGACACCTGTCAAGTTGCAATCTGCATCTTTTTGCGCTTGCCAGGTTGAAGAGGCTATGGCTGGCCCCTCCGTCGACGAACATTTTAAAATTGTTTTTTAACACCTTACCAGTGACCAGCACAGGGTGATCCACATTATTATCCCCGTTATTCGGCCGAGTGCGATCGATTGCATGAATCGGAACCACGACTCGGTGGGGATGATGGTGTTCGGGCGACGGAGCACAGTCAGTAAGGGGCCCACTAATTACTAACTCTTCCCATTTCCCTGCTCCTTCCTGTCGTCCCCTGTCAGCGGCATTTTCTCCCGGCAGTCTTTCTTGTAGTGACCCACCTTCCCACACCGAAAACACGGACCCTTAGGGGGTTGGTCGGGTGTATGGACGGCGTTGATCGTGGCCCGATGGGTCTGGCCACGAAAGCTTCTCCCATCCCTGGAAGCTGCTCTCGCGTACTGCATCAGCGCATCTGTTGACTCCGCCAGCCGTACAGCTTCAAGAAACGATGTCGGGCGGCCCCTGCGAACCTCGTACTGTATCTCATATTTTAGGCCACTGATGTATTTATCCAACCGCTCCGCTTCCGACATGTCATCCACCTGATCGGCGAGGCCCATAAATGACGCCGTGTAGTCTTGGACAGAAGCCATCTGCGACCATGCACGCAGCTTCATGCGAGCTTGCTCCGAGGCGGATACGTGCTCGAAGCGATCTCGTAAGGCTGCGCCCCACTCCTTCCACGTGCGAATCTTGGTCACCCCGAAGATAGGTTCCGCCACTTTATGAATCACTGTAGAGGTCCCGTCTGCCGCATGTGTCACACCTGTCGGCGTCCCTGTTTCCAAGGTTCGGCGCCACCATTCAAGCGCTGCGCCTCGAAGAAGCGAAACCGCGTAATTAATACGCGTGGCGTCGTCGTTAACGCCTGCTGCCGTGAAGAAGACCTCGACGCCGAAAAGCCACCCCTTCACTGTAGTCGTCTTGTCCGTAGGATTAAACGGGGGCGGGTTGGCGGGCTTGATCTTAATCGTCGTTACTGCAACTGGCGCTGCTGCCGCTCGCTGCCTGTCCTCCTCTTCGAAGTCGCGTGTGAGCGCATCCAGCGGATTGCTCATCGCCTGCCTGATTGTTGCCCTCGCCTTCGTCCACTTGCGACTCCTGACGCGCTTCACCTCGCGTCTGGCGTAGCTCGGCGTTTTCCTCACGCAGTGTTGTCACTTCCGCCATCAACGTCTTCATGCTTTCATGCATTTCTGCCACTTGCGCCATCATCCGGTTAACAGCCTCCTGATCCATGTGCCTAGCACTACGTCTGGTGGGCAGTCGGGTACCCGTGGCCTCCCAGTAAGTGAAAACATGAACTATCAGAGTCGGGCAGGATTGAATCAACAATCCCTGCAGCCAACCATCGTGTAGTCACTAAACCAACCACACCCGTGCCACCAAACTACCCTCGAAAAGCGGGGTGAACTAGGAAAGTAGCTTTGATACCAGGTGTTATGAGTTTAAAAGAGAGTGCGCAGGTAAACGAATAACGAGGCTGTGACTGAATGAACTGAGAATACAATGAATGCACAGACTAATGTAGGGCTAGCCTAGCTAGGAGGAAACCTCGGACGAGCGAGGTTGGGTGCAGGTTTGGCGATGGGAATGCCGAAGGCGATGCGAGGGGCCCCGGCAGCGTGGAAATCGCCCAAACGTGCGAACTCCGAAAATCGGGTTGTACGCAAAGCAGTAAACCCCGATAAGGAATTCGGGAAAATTCCTTACAACACACCACTCAGGATGCGCTGCGAGTGTGCTGCACGAAAGCAAATAGAGATAAGATGTTCTCTGTTTCGCAAAGCAAAATATACCCTAAATAAGCCGTAGTATGACTGCTGCTCTGTTTTTAGCTCCACAGCATACAGTGCTGTCATGCATCACACTCTATACATTTAGTTGCGCTGGGTGCATGCGCATTGTATGCAAGTGGTACGACAGCTCGCCCACCACCCAGTACTTCTCTGCGTTATTCAGGAGATTGCCAAAATGATACTCCTGCTGCACGTCAACAATCGCACACACCAGCTCTGGCTGAAACCCTGCCAGCGCCCTTGGGCTGGCAGCAGCATCTGGACTGTGCATGGCAGGGGCAGGAGGAGGAGGGAAGGGACCATGTGCAGCAATGCTATGCACTGTTGGGGGTGGCAGCGGCTGTGGGGAGTCCAAGTCGCGCACCATGATGGCTCGCACCCATGGCGTGCTGCCCTGCCTGTGCTTGTCCGTGCCGAGGGATGTGATGGTGACGGTGAAGAAATCGGGTGACAGGATTATGGTCTCTGTGTGAGTTGCGCCTCTCATCCATGCATGGGCGAAGCTGACACATGTGGGGTGGGGCAGGGAGCAGCAGGGGTGTGGAACGTGGGAGGCAGGGAGGAGGGAGTGTGCATGAGAAGTGAAAATCAGGGCGTGTAATTTGGAGTTGGATGCTTTGGAGTCGATGTGGGGCTTGCATGCGCGCCACGTGACAATAAGTGCGATGTGAGAAGCCATTGTGACATGCTTCACCCATTGTGACATGCTTCACCCATTGTCACATGCTTCACCCATTGTGACATGCTTCACCCATTGTGACATGCTACCCATTGTGACATGCTTCAGCTGCCATATTTACACATAAGCAGTCTGATGCTCGGATTCACGATGTGAGGTCCCGACTCAATCTCGGTATGCAATTACCTACTCGAATGCTGCAGCGCACTCACCCGGCAGACAGGGCGAATATTAAAGGGATGCAGAGAGTGAAGGGCAGGAGCATAGCAACTGCCACTGTGTATAACGCCTGCAAGTGCGGGGCGCGTGAGGGGTCACACGGTGGAGCGGGATAAGGAGCGGTTGGGCGAGAGGGAGGGTTGAGCAGGGGTTCGAGAGGGGGATAATTGAGAGAGGGGAAGGGGGATATGGAGCGGTGACTCAAATGATTGCCTTGGTTATGTTCGGTTGGAGGATTTGGTTGAGACTCGGACTTGTTTGGTGGGTAACGAATGGGGCAATGGTCACGCTGAAGCTAGCTTGCAAGAGAGTCGCGCGGGGAGAGCAGAGGGGGGATTGGGAGGAGAGTTGAGAAGAGAGAGCAGGTGGGAAGGGGGATGTGAGGGGCTCAGATGAGAAACAACGAGACACTTAGCTTGCATGGAAGGGAATGCGACGGAAGGGGATGCTGGTAAGGGCTTGCTGGAGGAGCTTGCTGGGAGGGGAGCGACCTACAAAAAAAAAAAAACGGAGGGAGGGGGTGGCTCTTTACACGCGCAGTGAGGGGTGGCTTTTTACACGCGCAGTGAGGAGTGGCTCTTTACACGCGCAGTGAGGGGGTGGGCGTGTACGCAAGGGACGAGCAGGCGGCTTACGAAGAAGGCGGTGAGGACCCACGCGAAGGTGCCGTCCTGGTAGTACTTCCTTGGGGGGATGCGCACCTCTAGCGCCCCGCCCTCCCCCTGTGAGATCACCTGCGGACGGCGCAGCATGCGGGGAAGATGGGCGCTGTTGAAAAGAAAATGTTGAAAAGTCCTTAACAAGGCCGTGTGGAGCAGGACGTGATATCTGATACCCGCGCGCGGCGCACGGTTAGTACTAACTAGTAGTAGGTGCATGACCCCTGCCAGAGAAGAATAAACGTTGTCCGTACCACGTTGCTATCTTCGGGTTTGGCGCAACGAGCAGGCCACGGCGACGCCACGGGAATTCCCATCACGGGTTGTGGTGGAACAGAAGGCGGAAAATGTTGGGGATGAGGCGGAACATATTGAGGGAGAGGCGGAAGGTATTGGGGGAGAAGCGGAACATTATACTGGGGAAGAGGCGAAACAGGGTGCGAGATAGCGGCTGCGTGATCGGCAGGCGGGGTATTTGCGTCGCTAATCCGAGGCGCGGGTTCCGTTTCGACTCGTTCGGGCATTGCAGCCATTAGTGGCTCTTCTTGCGACGCGCTCGCCAGGCTCGCCGTCATCGTGGCTATAGACTTAGATGTAGTATTTCCTAAGCTGGCTATAGAATTAGACGCAATTGCACAGTTGTGGGAGAAAAAAGCTACGAGGTGTTGGCGAAATAGTGGTTGGTGACAAAAATCCTAGAATCAACTCTGCTGGTGGAATTTCTACACCAGCAGCAGCCCCAGCATCGTGTGTGGGAGGGAATGGGGGGGAGGCGAGAAAGGGGTTGGTGGGAGCGGAAGGATCGCCGCTTGCAATGTCGCTGCGCGCGGAATGTGCGTCGCCTGCGACCGAAAACTCGACGTGCGGGGACACGCCTTGCGTCGCCTGCCCTGGCTGAGGTGGGTTCCATGCGTTGCATCGCTGGCATGAAGTCCCGCGCGTTGACTCCCATGACCGTACAGGTGATGTTTCAGTAACATTATGCTGGACACTGAACTATGTTATACCGCATGTAATTAGAGTATTCTACGAAAGGAGTTTTTCAAGGTGGTCACATAATGTACCAGCTCTCACACAAAGCAAACACACATGGTCTCTTTCCACCATGCCCTGCGTTCTAGAAAAACACACACATATATATAGAACCTAAAGTAGGAAGAAATAAACCCTTGACAAAAATAAATATGGATATATTGTTATTACTAAAAAAAAAAACAAGAGGCGACAAGGTCGTCCTAGGGTTGCGAAGCTCTTTCTGTAATGGTAAGTACAATTTAGTGAGTTGTACATCCTCAGAAAATGTACACAATAGCATGACGCTCAATAGGCAATTCCTAGGCAAAGAGTCGAAAATATGCAACTCACACTCCAACGACTCGGCCAATGCATCTGACTTAGGTTTTCAACTAATTTTTATTGTGTAAATTCGTTGCGACGAATCTGACACATTCCTAGGGTTTGATCGACCCTTTTTCTCCCTTCCTCTCGTTAACTGAGCTCCCCGCTAGTCAGGTTCCACCAACTAATTCAAGTCTCTACTAAGGTGAGAACAATCCTAACCTATCAGGTAGTTTTAAGTTAGATGATACAAGCTAGGCTAACATGTGTCGATCTCTTCTCAAAGTCGTTTATAGGGAATGTTCTATGGTTTGGTTTTTTTCCTTCGTTTTCCTTGTCCTACTTGGAGCAATCCACCCTCCCTCTCTGTCCGAGTTATGTTATTATAACTGCATACAAGTCTAGCTATAAGTATAATGGTGTTACATTTCTGTTAGGTGGTGCACCTCTTGGTTGTTCCTTGTATAACTCTCTCGTCACTTCTCAATGTCAGCCCTCTTTTGGCCAACTCTCTCTCCTAAACCCTAGTCTCTACTAGCTACTATTTTAACATGCTATCAGAGCTAGTCCCGGTCTAAGGACCTCGATCTCTTCTAAGGAACATGGGCCCACCCTTGTCTCAGCGCGAAATGCGCAATTTTTTCTGTCTCGTCGACCCGCGGCCCCTGCGTCGCCCCGCGCCGTTTCCTCGCCACGCGGCCCGTTCCCGTCGCACACGCCCCCCCGTTCCCGTCGCCCGCGGCCCCCCGTTCCCGTCGCCCGCGGCCCCCCGTTCCCGTCGCCCGCGGCCCCCCGTTCCCGTCGCCTCGCGCCCCCCTTTCGTCGCCCCGCGCGGACGCCAGCGCCACGGCCAGCCGCGAGCGCCAGCGCGGCCCGCCAGCGCAGACGCCAGCGCAGCCGCCAGCCGCCAGCGCCTGCGCCACCATCAGCGCCAGCAGCAGCTACCGCCGCCTTACCCCCCCGCCCTCCCTTCCGCGGCTTCCGTAGTGGAGGGGGGGGGGGGGAAGGGGGAAGGGGAGATGTGGGGGCGGCGGGTGTGAGCCTCCAGCAATCCGTCCCTCCCCTCTCTCTTCCTCTTTTCCGGCAGCACTAGTTGCTGTAGGAGAAAGGGGGGGGGGGGGGATGAGAGATGGTAAGGGAGGGTAAGAGAGAGTGGTGGAACCAGTAGCCACGCATCTGCAGCTACCGTACACTGCTACTGTGGCACCTACTTCTGCAGCCCCTGACGCTTCTCCCTCTACGTTCGTCTTCTTTGCTGTTGAGCTGCAAACTAAGTGCGCCACAGCACATCGCCTTCTTTGCTGTTGAGCTGCAAACTAAGTGCGCCACAGCACATTGTCTTCGTTTTCTCTTTCTTGCCTCAGAGCTTGCTGCAGCTGTCTCTGCCACCACTGCACTGGTTGTCACTGCTCTTGCGTTCTGCTGCTTTGGTCTGCTCTGTGTACCCCTGCAGGTTGTGTTCTACACTTTGCTATTCCTGTACGCAGTTAAGGGGGGATGTCCGAGTTATTTTATTATAACTGCATACAAGTCTAGCTATAAGTATAATGGTGTTACATTTCTGTTAGGTGGTGCACCTCTTGGTTGTTCCTTGTATAACTCTCTCGTCACTTCTCAATGTCAGCCCTCTTTTGGCCAACTCTCTCTCCTAAACCCTAGTCTCTACTAGCTACTATTCTAACACTCTCCTACTTCCTCTCGTTCTGCCGACGAGCTACGGGAGTTTCCACTAGGTAAGAACTTACAGCTTAAAGTCGTTCGACTTAATTCTAACTTAGGTCGACTTAGATTCAACCTAGGTGGACTTCGATCTTGGTTTAACATATGTTGATTTAGGCCGGCTGGCCATTTCGTCCTATTTAACTGTTGATTTAGGCCGGCTGGCCATTTCGGCCTATTTAACCAAGTCAATTTGTTTAGTACAAGCCATTGGCTGTAATGTACCTATCTTAGCCTCATTCCATCCGTTTGTTTCCTTTCCATTTCAAATTTTCGTTTTCTTTTTCATTTCTGCATGAAGTTTTCTATCTCTCTTTCTCACTGTTTTCTATTTCTCTCAGCAGCCTCTTCACTTCGTTGAACTTTTCTTCCTTCCATCTTGTAATTATTTCGTCTTTCATTCTTACGTGCTCTTCAGCTTTCTTTAGTTTAACGTCTATCCGTTCATTTTCTTTTAGCTTCCTGCTGTAGTGTATCTTTTATTTCCATACATGTTTTCTTCACTTCTTTTGTTGATTCCTTCTTGTTCCCTTCTCTTTACTGTCAGTTTTTTTTCCTTGTATAGTCGTTCGATTTCAGCGTTATCCGGTCTTATATTGTATTCTTGCGTCTCTCCTTCCTACCTGTTGCATGTTCTCCTTTCTCTCTGCAATTCCCTTTCTCTTTTCTTCCCATATTACTTCTTTCCATCTTACGTGCCCTCCAGATTTTCCCTGTTTCATTTCTTAACCTTTCTTATCCTTGCTTTCTTTTTGTCTCAATTATTTCTTTCCCTTCTACGCATTCATTTCATTTCCCTACATTGTCTAATCGTTTTGTTATGTCTTTCTGTTGCGTTCTTTGCTGATTGTTTTACCACTCCCCTCTCATTCTCATCTTGTTCCTTCTCTCCTCCCCTCTTCCACCCACCACCCCTCCCTCTCCCCCCCCTTTTTTTTTATGTTCAGAGGCTTTGCTGTTTGCTACAGGCTGCCAAGATTACTTATGAAGTATAACGATAATAGTTATGATTTGTGGAGCTGCATTGTATTGATAATTCTCGTTTGCATTGGTTTTATTGTTTCTATTGTTTCTGCATTGCCCTTGTGTGTGTGAAAGGATTGTGTCTGAGATTTTGTGTGAGCATATCCGTATGTGCGTCGTGTATGTGTCTTCGTGTGTGCACACTCATCCATATGCATTTATCATTGCATTAACAATGCGCATCTGTGGATTTTAAAAAGATGGTCAAACCATCATTTCCGAGAAGGTTCTTTGCCCACTCAGTGAGTGTGTTCATTTGAACTGGATTTGATGGATCTTGATCATTTTTTTGGTTTTCACAGATTGTGTTGTTTCATGTAACAGTTGGATGATTCAGGAACTATGCTATTGAGCTCCCCCCCATGCTAGGCAGGGGATGCGGTAGCATAGGGTCTGGGTCAATTAACTGTTACGCATTTCGATCATGGTATACATTCATTTCACTACACTGGATGTATACCTAGATACCGTATGGCCCCGGACATAAGCGCCGTCCGATTAAAGGCGCCGGCGCTTCTATCTGGAGCATGGCGCTTATAGAGGATCCTCGATTAGAAGCGCACCCCTTTTCAGGTCTGAACTTATTATAAGCGCATGTGCAAAGTCTGATATCTACTTATCATGTCAGAATATTATGCTCTAGCCTGCAGTGGGGTGCTCTATAGCGAGTACAGCCCTTCTAGGGTTAGCTATTTGTACCACCGTTGTTGCTAGTGCAAAACCCCTCTTCCGTTCAATTCTCTCTTGCCTAGCTAGGGTTCTCCTAGCTATGGCCTCTCACTATACCTACTATTCCGACATGCTATCAGAGCGGTTACGCTCTTGGCCTGTGGGCCCCACTACTGCTTCCGCTGCCCTACTCTGTGCTGCGCGCCCCGTGGCGCGCGGCCTTCAATTTTTCATCCCGCCGCGCGCTCGGGGCGCGCGGCGGTTCCCTGCCCGCCGTGCGCGCCGAGGCGCGCGGCGGTTTCCAGCCGTGGGGGAGCCCGCGCGCACCCCGCCCGTCCGTCGCGGCGCCCTGGGGAGCACTCGCGGCCCCCACCCTGCACGTCGCGTCGCCCCCGTCGACCCTCGCGTCGCCTCCGGGGACCCGCGCGCACCCCCCCACCGTCGAATCGCCCCCCCGTCGCCCGTCGTGGCCTGCGCGCGGCCCGTACAGCCGGCGCGCGGCCCGTACGGGCTGCGCCAGGCCCGCGCGCGGCCCGTACGGGAAGCGCCAGGCCCGCGCGCGGCTCGGGCCGCCTGCGCGCGGTTCGGGCGGCTGTGCCAGGCCCGTGGGCGGCCCGTTCCTCGCTGCACCTGCCCTCCCCACTGTCCCCCGTGCTTCTACTGGCGCCCTACCCCTCCTACAGCCCGTTCTCCTGAATTAGGGTTTGGGGGTGAGGGGTATGGGGGTGAAGCCACTGAGTGCCGTTCCCTGCTCCTCCTCCTCCTCCCTAGTCTCCCTCTGCTACAGCTGCCACTGAGGGGGGTGGTGTGTGGGAGCCTAGGGTTT